TTCACCAATGTAATTCATGTGTAATTCGTAATTCTAAATGCTTTAAATATGGTAAAACTGTAATACTATGGTTCATTTCGCTTTAACTAATGCCAAAATTTATGATTGTGATCCTACTTCGAGAAACGGTATAACGTCACGTAACAGTCCAGATTTGAATGAAGCCCGGAATCATTGTGAGACAAAAGTTTCTGATCAAACAACTTCTTTTCAGATTTCTCGTGTTATTGTGCCAGATCTGGTTTATCATAATGATTCACATATTTCTGATGAAATTTCTTACAACTCTGAGAATAATATGTCGAAAGAGTCAAATAATGATCAAAAACCAGATTCAGTTTTGGTAGATGCTGATTTTTCTAGTGATCCATTACTCTCTAATGAAACTTTTGATAAACTTGAGGGAAATATTTCGGAAAAACGAAATGCTATTTCTTATCACATGGGATTTATCTCCAGTGATATCCCCAATAATTATGACAAATATGTCTGAGATGAGTCGAATTTTAGTCACATTTGATGTTATTGTATCAGATGTAGAATATTCTTCAAACCAATGTGTGTCGTGCAGTGTAGTATCGGTTTATATGTTAAGCCCTTATGCCTAATTCTAGCTTTTGGACAAGTCAATTCACTATCCATCATGAGTCATGTTTTCACTTTGTTAATTATTCACTTATTAACGCCGACAATTTTTTTCATATGAGCGTAGGTGTGTGAACACTTTTTATCCTATTTATTACATGTCTGTCATTTATTCTTGTTTAACTATTAATATTGATAAACGCTTGACTAAAGTGAGTTAGCTTACTCGCCATCTCCAATGCATGTCATTTTTGTTTCGCTCGCGGATATTTACTCATGGGCTTATAACTTTCTGGCCTGCGTCATTTGTCAATAAAGCCGTTTCTCTTTGCCTTCTGATTTTATGCACCGTTAAGATTTGTATTATAACGGTTTTCGAGCTGAATGGTTAATAAAGTACGGCACCACAGTAGAATTCTTAGTCAGTGGTATGCTGAACCAGATGGGATAGCACGTTTTTCCGAAGCAATAAAAAAAACGGTGTGAAGTTCGCACAAGGAGAAAATCCAAATCGAGCTCAAGATTATCCTAATTAGTACTAGACAGATGCATGTTTTCCATTTGATTATTTCGCAGGTGAATTACATGTGTTAATTACACATATCAATGCATATCTATATGTGTATTTTAATATGAATTACAAAAAAGAATATATATCATAAATTTTATGCAAGTCAAAGTTACATGATGGAATGCCTCAAATTACGTGTCAGTGTTTATCCCCAAATACTCACATACAATAATCAAAGCGTGAGATATAACGCAAAATGGGAGCGTCAAATTGGTTACAACATTGCGACGTTAGGACGCAACATTATTTCGTGGCGGAGGATAGTGTTGGAAAGTCTATGATGTAAATTCTAGGTATCAAAGGTTTCACTACACAACCGTCATGATGATTGTATGCAATTCCAGGAATCAGGTGAATCTGTTTCAATTTTGGTTGTTAATTTTAATACTAATGAGTGTATTCTGGATTGTACAGAGTCTATATCTATTACACAATCTGGCGGACACGTGATGAACCCAATGAAAAGAGGTAAGATTGATCGCAGAAATCTGGATTCCCATTTAAGCTGTAGCGGATGCGGTTTTTGAATGAGCCAATTATTCCTTGTATTGATGATTGTTTTCATTTTGAATTCCAAATACAGTACATTCGTTAACGCTCATCTAATAATTCTTGATTAAAATGCGTTATTGCAGGGATAACTTGTTTATACTATAACTCAAATATTATCAGATGTCACAATTTCCTAATCAGTTTCTTTAGCCATCTTTTTGATTTATCTTTCGTCTTATTAATACCCGTTGGATTCCTGTGATTCCTTTGGTAAACTCCGGCGCGCGATAGTTTCACTGGATTTGGTACTAAATCAGCGTTACGTTGATTTTTTTGAGACAGTGGTGTGTCGGTATTGATTCATAGCAATGCAGTCCTCGAAACTGAACATATAATTACTAGGAAAATTCACTTTCAAAATGTAACACTAAGAGAAGGTTAACAGGAAGGGAAAAAAAATAAAATGGGCATATATATACTTAGGGAAATGAATGAATCATTGAATCGATTAGGCGACTAATATTAAAGCTAGTAGAATGAATATGTGCGTAGGCGGTAAGCGATGTTCAGGTATACATATTCACACAAGCACAACAATAATAGATGTAAAATGGTATAGATAAGTTGTTATTGTACGGATGACTTTTTCTGTTAAATAACTTAACAAAAGGGCCTAAAGAAATAAAATGTAAATGAACTCAAATGCACGTGAGCTGCTGTAACAGGTATTTATTAACAATTGTCCACCCAAGATACTCAACGTCCGTTAACCGGATACTATCAGTAACTGCCTACTATGGAAGTGAATGAAAATTAAGAGAAGACGTTGAAAGTGGATATAGCATACTCTGCGAAAATCATTAGACCACATCACGAAGCAAGTTCTTACTTGAAATCCTGAGTGGAAGAAGAAAAGAAGGAGACCAGAGAACACGCCGCATTGAGAATTGGAAGCAGACACGAAAAGCAAGAATAGCAACTGGAAAGTATTGCTCAGCACTGAATTGGATTGAGAATACTGGTGTATGGCCTGTGCTTCTCCAGTGGGATATTTTGTCCGTTTCACTAATAAAATTGAAGCTTATGACAGAAAGGTAACTCTTCCCCAGGGAGGCCAGGATTGAGTGATTTGTATTAGAAATTGTTTGCTCGTGATGATGCAATATTTCATTTCCATTGTGCCTGTGTTCAGCAAACTCAACTTTGAGAAGACAGAAGTCTCCCTAGGTTAGAGTATGAGTGTCTCCTTGAAGAACATAGCGGATCAAACCTTTCAGGATCTGATTTCACGCTAGGCGTTAAGAGTAGGCTCCTCATAAGTGATCATTGCCGGACTTGTAATGTGCGATACAATCTCACGGAGGACCATGCAGATCATCAATATCGACAATCTTTCGTATATCTCCTTATTGTGCTACAAAGTAGGAAAGTAAACATAAAACAGCCCCTTAACCCATTCCAAATTTCAATGTTGTTGCCAGAAAGGGACATACTATTTTTTTGTCAGCTCTTGGTCCGTGGGTTGAGATGTCTATGTTTCAAATAAACCTATCAAGAGAGTATTATTTAGACTACTTAGTTTACGTCACTTATCTTTTATGTTCAGCAAACTTGAAGCAATCGTATACAAGGAGTTAGTACTTTCTGTTTGAAACCTATGTGTCTTCTTAAAGTGTTTACTTGAGTAAGTCTTATATGAATGAACAGAAACCCTATCCCCACAGGTCTTCTTGGACAAATGGTTCCTGACCCTCCCACGTTTTCCCTTGTTCTTCACAGTCCATGAATGAAATAGTAAGTTGAAATATGTTATCGTACTTAACCTTGGTATCATTTGACCCTTCGATTCCACTTGAATTTCAATCGACAGTCCGAATTTGTCAGCAGAAAAGGCATTGAGAGTGACGGTCGTCATTTGTAGAATGGGACAATTGTCTTGATTAGCTGAGATCTGTTCTCACATGCTCCTAGAGGACTTAACCTTTACCCGTTAGAGTATAGGCGTCTTAGAGGTGATCTTCTTATGACTTATAGTATCCTTAATACTTCTGGTCATCCCCTTAAACAACTTCTTAAGCTTAGTCATAACACTAAGCTCAGAGGTAACACACAGAAATTGGAGACCCTACATAGCAGAACAGACTGCAGACACAACTTCTACTCCATTAGAGTTGTCAAGTGCTGGAATTCGCTGCCGACTGAGCTAGTCCGAGCGACCTCCCAGGAGTCCTTTAAGAGAAAACTTGACTTATTTTTAAGGACTAAGGATAACGTATTATTATGACTTACCAAATTCTTTTTTTCCCTCTATTATCGTTTATATACCTAGGTTCTTGCCTGGAGGTATTGGTGATCCACTGCTACCAGACACGGAAGCCCGTTAAGCGGAAGCTTCTTCTATTCCGTCCTCAACCATTTGAACCTTGTCGTTTTCGTCCTGAAATCTCTGAGGAATGTCTGAGAAGTATTTTAGGTTCATGAGGATCAAGTAATTGCCATGAAACTTGATCGATTTCTTAGGTTTCCGGGTACGTCAATATTGGATTCCCTTTTGTTTATACTTTTGATTGCAACCAATGTATCTAGACGGAGTTGTATGACAGTTGCTGGTTCCAGAACCCTTCCTGCCATGGAGCAAATGTATTCATTTAAAATCCATTTGAACAAACATATAAACAATGGTAAACTTCAATAGCACACAAGCACTCCAGTGATTAGACCACTTAAGACGAAAGAGTGATAGACCTAAAAGTATGCGACAATATCATGAAGTGAGAACAGGTGAATCATCTAGTATACATTAGGTCGTCATAAAGTTATTAGGTTTAGGAGGTAAATAAATCCCGAAAACAAATAGTTCTGTAAGTCCTCGACATCTATGTTAACCTCATTAGTTTTACTGGACACATCCTCTCTGAAGGCCACAACACAGCACCAGATCACGAGTGGCTGGGCCCTGCTACCCATCCCTTGCAACTAGTGACCAACTTAGAGTAAACGCTTCTCGACATACAGATAGCTTCTCAAAACATGTCTTCGAACCCCTTCATTTAGGATTCCTATACTGACAAGGTTATTATCCTCCGATTATAAAAGGCACTTTTTAAAAATCCAATGCATATGACATTTTTAAAGTAAACAACTGAGAATCCTTCTGGAGCCCATATACAGAAATAAAATAACAGCAGAACAATATTTTTTGTCTATGAAAATGGCAGATGCGTTGATTCATCAGGGTATATTGATTACTGAATGTTGGAGTTATTCACTATGATGTTAGTGTTACAACAAAATATATGCTATATTAATGACGACCTTGATTACTATAGTATTAGAGTTTTCCCTAAATTGAATGTCCGAAAGAGATACATTGTCTGATATTTTGTACAATGATCTATCTCAAGCCTTCAAGATCATTGACAAAGATGAAGATGGAATTTTGGGTGTTGACGATATATCCTACTTATTAACAACCCTCGGTATCGGTTTTAATGAGGATAGTATTTATGTAAGGTGAAATAAGAAATACGGTATTGGTATATTTAACAGACAATTGTTAGGTATTTATCTGATAGTGAGGACTCCATACGGCTTCCAAATTTCATTGAACTCTTAGGTCGTGCATTGGAGAACCTTGATGAAAATCAACCAGTGAAGACACTATTTCGGTTTGCATTTATACATAAAAATTTTATTTGTTTATGTGTATATCGTTGCGAAGTATTATATGATAAACGTACAATATACCAGAATCGTAACTATATCCAGTGCCTTTTGACGATTTTGTATTATCAGATTGATTTCTTTAAGGTACCTTCTTGTTATTTTCTCACGATTTCAGGTCTTTAGTAACATCCAGTGGGTAGTAGTCTAGACAGTCGACTGCATTAATCCTGCTCAATCTGTTGATTATTTGTGAGTTTTTGTATCTTGTAACTGGAGTACGTAAGTCTCTGAGAAGTGAAGTTTTAGAACTATCAGTTATCACATTGTCAGACAGGAGGTAGGTTGGCTACAACATCAAAAATACAAAAGGTCAAATGCAAACTAACTAAGAGATAATCTCTTCGCGAACTTAACAAATAAAACGTTGAATAATTGAGGATGAAGACAGTAGAAGGAGATCTAAGTCTAACAATGTAAGGTGAAACAGAGTTGATAATAAACACGTTTGTAATAACTTATATGTGATAATGATAATAGCGAAAAAGATATGAGACATGCATCAAGCATAAGTAGTCAAAGAAGATGGTAGTTCACGGGTAAATTGTGTCATAAAGCTATTTATTTAAGTGGCTGTGGTTGTTGTGGTTAGGATTGCGATCTAAATGGGTGTGGGTAACTCCGAATAGGAAAATTAAGAGAGCACCTGCGACTTCTCTCCTCACTGTGCAACTTTCCGTGGGTAACCTCGCGGTACATGATGCTGATATTCTGGCAGGATTTTTGTAATAGAGTGAGTTGATATACTTAGTACATAGTACTCCATTGTCAGATCACCTTTTATCACCTTTATTTCCCATAGCTCAGACAGAGTAATTCCAAGTATCGGGGCCCATCTTCGTAAGCTTTGCTTCCTTTACGCACCACCCACTTAGTTGCTCGTCTCTGAACTTGATCTAATAGATTCTCATCTCTGTTTTCACAAAGTGAAGAGTTGCATTGATTTTAAATGTGACCCTGAGCTAGGCTCTCTGTGTCTAATATCCTTGATCGGTCTCTGGAGCGACAAATAGCAGCTGGATTTCATATAGGGTGTAATCTACTTGTCTTCTATCGAGCAAAATGTTCATGATATGACATTTTGATAAGATTCATTCCAACTCTTTAACTATTTTCTATTTCCCTATCGTTATGTGGTCCTTCAGAAGCTCGAGTGAACCCTTTTAGCTCTGTATAGACCTCAATGTCTTTACATCGTCAGTGCATATGAGAGTTAGTGAGGCAATTTTTTCTGTAAGTCGATCAATAAAAATCAGGGAGAGTAGTGAATTAAATGTGGTGCATTGTGAGATTCACAATTTTGAAACTCTACTGCTCCAAAGTATTCGATGAACCTTGGTATAGAATTTTCTGTTTTTCAGGTAATTTTGAAGCCAGGATGAAACTAGGTCTGTGAAACATATTTACAACTTTTGTTTGTGAATTGCTTGCAATACTGCGTCAAACGCTTTTGCGAAGTCAATTGATACTAAATGGATCCCAGCACGTTGTCCATCTTTCTCATGCTATGAAAAGATTCGATATTCCGAACCCGCCTCTTGCATCCCCATGTTGTGCCTCATGAAGGATGTTAATTCTGTGTATATACTAAGTCTACAATTACATTCGACGCTATTGGGAGTAATGTAACTGGCTTGTAGTAGGCTATGTCTTATCTTTTTCTTTGAAGACTGAAGACATGACGGCCCATGTGTATTCTTTTGGAAATCCCTGCGACTTTAGTAAGTACCGCGACAAGTCACACATAGGCGCGCTGGTGGCTCCCACACAATGTTTTTGAATTGCGAGGCTGAAAATATCACATTCTGGTGATTTTTCTTGGTACATAGACTTTATTTCTCTTAGTAACAACTCGAGACTAAGGGGTTTCACGCTTGACCATTAGCTAACATCGATGTCGAAGTGCCCTAAGATTGTAAGTTCCTGGTTTAACCAACCGGTGAAGTTAGGAATAAAGATTTCTGTTATTCCTAGGTTGGTGACATTTATACCCCTGGGCCCCATGAGATCACAAACGTCTTGGTTTTCAGGTTCTTGCTTGGTCATAAATCCAAAGAGATATTTCAGGCTTGTTTGTATTTTAGATGAAAACTTGGCTCAAGTTCTGTCAATGATGCCATTTATGTGTATTTGTACGTTGTTCTGTATAAATTCAAGTCAATTTGATTACCATCGCAAACAAGTGTACGGCATCAGTTTTGGTTTACAAGTAAACCAGAATAATGTGGATCAATTTATTGATTATCGTAGACGCATTAAAATGGATTGCCCTAATTTCGGTGAATATAACTGGTTTGCTGTATTATGTTGCTATTTTACTTCAGTTTACTATCATATGAATTATGTAACTTGCTTTGAGGTATGACAAAATAAATGCAAAATAAGGATGAAGACATGATATATCTCAGTTTTTTAGTCTGAATATCATTATTTTTAATCCTCTATGACGGACAAATTGAATAAAAATTTGAATAACACGACCACGTAATGTGTTTATAAATAATTAGGTCAATTGTTATGCACAAAAATATAAACAGATTTAAAATAAAATGTAAAAGAGTGGACTTCGAATTTGATTGCAGTTGTGATAACATAGAAGTAACACTAAAATAAGATCCATGTATCTGAATAAAAACAACACTGGTACTGACCATAATAGGATTATAATAATTCAGAATTACACAGTACAGGTCTATTATGAATTAAACTGAAATAAACTGTAATATACTGAGGTATGTTCAAAGTATCGAGTAATCTGAAGATCTCAAAAATTGAAAAAACAGGAGAATGGTTAAGTAAGATTATTTGACAGACAGACAAAGATGAATTGAAAAGGTATGCAGATAAAAATTTGTAATTAATTACTCCATCAGATACAAGACAAAAAGTAGAACCAACTTAGATGTTGTGAGTTCGATTTGATTTTAAATTCTAGAATAATTGTACAGCTTTGTAAACATGTGTCGAGAAGTTTAACATGACTGAATGTTTTCTGAAACAATTGGGCATGATATTTGCTTTACTTTGGTCTTCCTTTCTCGTCTGAGATGTCCTTTTTGTATTTAGGTTCGAAGTCAACTTTTACTATTCTTTTCTGCAGTTAATATGCGATGATAGATACTATGGATGTCTAATCGAAATTTCCGCAAGTCGGTCTTAATATTGCTTCGTGAGTTAATGACTATCGCAAATATTTGTTTCTGATGGACTTGCAGTGTTTCACAGCGATAAATGCAGCAAAACTGATGGTGACGTTTTAAAACGCTTTGCTTTTGTCGCTATAAGCATCAAATTTCACAAATAATTTAGCGATGTTTGTGTTTTCCCTTTTTGGGGATTGCTCAATATATAAGAACAGTTAAGTGGCTTGGAACTTTGTAAGTGACTTGATATACCTTCGAATGGGGTTGATTGAAACATTTTTGTCTTTTTATAAGCCTTCCATACATTACAGCGAGCACGAGTGTCAGTATGGGGTACCATATTACCACTGCTTCCGAATATGATGATCTAGTTCTCACTTCTCCCAATCAACGATAGTCACTTCATTTGAAATGTAAGGACTTGTTCAACGACAGACGATGAATGTCATCAATTACTTCGAGCTGGATTATCAGCATACCGAACTAGGGTTAGTAAGGTTATGGATTCTATTGGTTTCTGGTCGAATGAGTCTGTTAATGATCCATCTCTTACTTAATCTAGTTAATAGAGTGCCATTGAAGTCGCCAAGTATAAGACTTCCGCGTCTTTTTGACCAAGACTGCAATTTATTTAACGAGGAACAAGTCTGACATGGATTCACAGATTCTGTAAAACACAATTAACTTTATGTTTTATCCACTACGGTTCATTAGGCATCGTACCAATTCACATGTTTCTGAATTGTGTACCACTGTTTAAACAGGTCAAGTAGTTAGGAATTTCAAGTAAGAAGTAACACCAGTTAACTTACCCTCTAATCTCTCAGTTTTGCAGAGCAAGAAGCTCATCGATCATATTTCAATGTCACTTATTTCTGAAGTAGACCATGTTTCCTGAACTACACTGATTCCAGAACTTTCTGTGTTGCTTATGTTACTAATCTCGGTCGATTTTGTTTAGATTTTTATAAACAACGGTGAAGTAAACAACAAGTCCTGTTTGATGTTTGTTTTCTCCCATGCATGTTTTGGGATCACTTAGCTCCAAACTCTAGGAATACAAAAGCATTTCTTAATCAAATTCTTCACTTTGTTACGACATAGTTCATTTGTTTAACACGGTGACTTAGACCAAGACTATGGTCTCTAAATCTATGGAGTTTGTATGCATTTTTTCGATAACAAGTTAAACTACGTAGCTGAAACAAGAGTTACGTTCATAAAATTTTATTTCTGTAAAACGTCGAAATTTGACCATCTTTGTATTTTGTATAATGAATGAATGCTAAAACCAACCTCCACTACTGACATTAGCTCGTTAATCAGAGGGTTGACACGTTCGAAATCATGTTCAAACCTTGCTAACAAATCAGCGGACTCATAGTGAACTCACTATGATTAGAATGACCTTTCTTGAGACTGAGTTCTAGGATGGGTTCGTTTGTTTTACATTTCAATTCGAAAGGTGAATTCGAGATAACCACAACATTAATAAGACGAATCCAAATTAACTGTTGTGAGTAAATTACAGTTCATTTCTTTCTAGATAACAATTTCTGGGAAATATTTTAGCCGAATGAATGTCGAAGACATACTTTCAACAAACGTTCAATACAAGACAAACCTCATTTCACAAAAGCTATCATTTTTCTTGATGTTACTTGCATTTATAACTGTTATGATTTGCAAAGTTTACATATAACTTGCTATAATTGCAACATTTTCCAGCATCTGTGTACTTGTTAACTTGTAATGAACTAATTAGAATTTGGTTATTTATTCTGAAATTTAAAGTAATTTATGAACTTCTATTCTTATTTTTGTGTTATGGAAATTGAAAAATTCGGTTTTTATTGATAATTGGTCTGGTCTTGTAGACCTTCCCATTTCACTAAACTAACTTTCACGTTGAAACTACCGAAATTACTTAATTCCATTAAAGTATTTAGTATGCAAGTCATAATCTTAATTAACAACTAGGTAATTTAATCAATGTAAATGTGATATATTTTGAGTATTTAAACAAAATTAAAGTTAATCTTATACATACTAGGGTGAAGATAACTTATTAATCAATTTGTTGCAGATATATTTTATTATATATATTCTTTCTTATAATCAGAAATTTGAAAATGAATGTGAATGTTTTAATTCATTCAAACATTTCATTATTGAAAACATTGATTATAAGAAAGATGAAATATATTGATATATTTTCAACAAAAAGATTGATGATTTATCTTCAACCGAGTATGTATATAAGATTAACTCTTTAATTTTGTTTAAATACTCAAAATATATCACATTTACATTGATTAAATTACCTAGTTGTTAATTAAGATTATGACTTGCAGACGAAATACAAAGGTTCAAACAAATGCAAAACATTGAAATAGATGATAATAAATGTGAATATCCTACTTAATTATGCTCAGTTCTTTAAAAATGATTAACATCGAAAGAAAGTGGTAGAGATATGTAACGGTAAGCTATTGTCCACGTTTATTAACAGACATCTACTTTTTGACATAACTGGTTTAAGTGGACAACAAAAATTATAGTATTTTAAACTTCATCTGAATAATAAAATTGATTTACACATGATTCTGTTGGTTTGTGACAATTATAGAGACTGTTTTCAAGTCCTAATGAAATATGCTGAATGTTAAGTATGTAAATACAGTCCTGTTTGCCTCCACTAAACATAAATATATCGAGGCTTTTCAATTAAGATATTTATGATCATGCACATCAGTAGATAAAATTTCAATCTTACATCTGTATCCGTTCCACCGTATAATAAACAAATTATTGTATTTTCTTCAGAATTGTTGATCGAAATGGTGATGGACATCTGGATCCTGATGAAATAGCACTACGAATGTCTAAAATATTTGATAAAATTACTAAAGAAGAAGTTAGACTTCTACTGGATACAGTGAAGACGGAGGACGATCAAACTTTGGATTGTGAAGAATTCGGTGCTCTTTTAAGGTTCGGGTTTTCCGAAGCGAGGAAGTGAAAGAGAACATCTATACTTTCTTTCTCAAATATATTATTTCTTGTTAATAATATCATTTTTGCAAATCGTTCTTACCATGGTTCCTTCATACATTTTGACTTAGCTATGGGTAAGCACTATTATGCTTTCATTATACGTTAAATAACGTGTGCTTTATTATTCCATTATGATGATAAAAAATGCTTAAATAAATTCCCCACATAAAATGCGTTCTCTAAATTATACTTTTTGAACTCATAATTTGAAACCAACCGTTTTTATTTAAACATTGGATCTGACAGTATTGCAAACTTAAAATTGTTTCGTCTCAAATTTGGTTAAAACTTTATAAAGAGATTCAACCACTTTCTTGAAAGTCAAGTTGTACTGTTAAGAGAAGATTATTACTCAGTAATGGGATAGAGGAAAATATTTTTATTCAGTGACAGCGTAACATCGCCAAAATGATTATGTACAAATTAAACTTCTCATTCGATTTATTAAAGAGTAAACTAGTATTGTTTGCAAAATGAGGTTTAAGATAAAATTTATAACTTATACTCATATTAGGCGGGTTAACGCAAATGAAATTGACTATTTTCTTGTAGTAAGTGCTAGTAAATATTATGTTTAAGTGAAATAAGGTCTTCCTAGTCGTTGTTTAAGTTAACATTTATCAATCTATTTGTAATCCATAACATTTCAGAGTTAAACAATTTTCAGTTCTGCCGAAATAGAAAATATTATATCAGTTTACTTGTCAGGATTTGATATGAATTTTCTAGTTTGTTATTTCACAGAATTTGAAGAAAGGATAATTTGCAAGCAATAACCTAAATGAATTCGTAAGAAATAATTTCGACTGATTGTGCTGCAGGATCAATAAGGAAATGAAAATAAAATTTTCATAGTCGATTATTCTCAATACAATAACCGACATTTCTAAACTTTATTTAGTTGCCATTGGCAACATTTCAAATCGCATGTGACAAATATGAACGTAGATCAAAATCAGCAGATCCTATATTTGAATAGATCATCACTTAATTATTAAATAAATTTATTGTTTCAGTTACTTTATTGAAAATTTCGTGTGCCTTCATCAGAATAATTACAGAAAAAATGTTTTAAATAATATTCAACTGAGAAGTTTAGTTAATAAATTTTTAAGTTTTAGGTAGCTCTTCTGATGACGTTTAGTGCAAAATCCTTCTGTAAACTGAACTCAGTTAAACTATTCGTGTTCAATATTGAAAAGGTCTTATGACAGTTAGTGTTAATAAGGACTAGTGTTAAATGTTTTCGTGCTCTGATTTTCTGTTTGATGTACTTCATATGTTGATTTGTAGTATCAGTTTATATGTTAAGCTCATATACTTTGTTCTAGTTGCTGGAGAAGCCAATTCGCCTATCCATTATGAGTCATATTTTGATCTTGTTAATCATTTGCTTATTAACGTTGACTATACTTTTATATGAGCATATTTGTGTACACTTCGTATCTTATTCATCGTATGTCTGTCACTCATTTTTGTCCGACTATAAATGTTGATTAACGCTTGCTTAAATCGAGTTGGCTTCCCCGCCATCTCCAGTACGCATCATCTTTGCCTCGCTTGCTCCTCGTTCGCTTCCTTCGCTTGTTCGCCTGTTCACTCGCTCGTTATTATTCGCTCAGGTGCTGCTAACTTTCTGACCTGAGTTATTCGACAATAAACTGTAGTTGCTCCTATCCTTTGTCTTCTGATTTTACGCACCGTTAAGATTAGAATTATAACGGTTATCGAACTGAACGCTTAACGAATCGCGGCACTACAGATTAAATACTCGGTTGATTTTAGTCGCAGAACATTTTTTTATTACCACAAGGGGTTTTTTGTGGAGATTTAGTAATTTTATAGTTAAGATCATGAGTTCTAGTGAGAAGCCGTGGCCAGTGGAGCTAATCCATGTCAGGTAGAGACAGGTATCTACATCAGCACATTGGAAGTTGGTTGCACGATTTCGTGGATTGGTTGAGGTTAGACATTAACACCGTTGGATGCCAGCTCAGTGGTCTATCGGTTGAGGGCTCTGGCTCGAGACTGGTAGGTCTTGGGTTCGAATCTCGCGAGAGCGGGTTCGTGGATGCGCACTGCTGAGGAGTCCCATAATAGGACGAAACGGCCGTCCAGTGCTTCCAGGTTTTCGATGGTGGTCTAGCTTCAATTGACTCATGATCTTAACTATAACATTTTTTTTATTATTATTACTTTTCTCTCCTCTCTACTAAATAAAACTTTTCAGTAATGACTATGAACTAAAAAAAAGATAGAAAATGCTTCAAAATATAAATAAAACTAATTAATAAATCAGAATATAAAAAAGGAATTATTTTTGAATAACAGTAAAACTAAATAACTTTCATTTCGAAATGACTTGTTCATTTCCAAAAATGGAAACTGTGATACTGTTCAGTTATTGTGACAATCTAACTAAAATATTAATCAAACTAGATTTTTATTCAATTGTTTATTCTATCTGTATTAATAATAATCTTTCTAAAATAGAAATCTGGGTTTTATGTTAATTTCAATGCGATCTTTATTCAAATAAACAAAAAATAATGTATTGTTAATAAATGAATAAACAGACAAACGAGGTTCACTTGACTGATTATATATTTTTAAGGAAATACAATGATTTTATGATCTCTTTAATTAAAAACGGATTTTGACTGCCATTCGTAGTCGTATAGGTTGAAAGTATGAAGAAAGTGAGTTAATTAAACAAAGTGAAAACATATGATTCAAGTTCATTGTCAGATTGTTAAATTTAATTAAATGAAGGTATTTATCGACCGTAGGTGATGAAAACGGACTTTGAACAATCTTGGAACTATTGACAAGATATCTTACAACTTAGTATTCTGAAATCTTTTATTTGTTGAGTGGTTCCAGACATTTGGACTCGAATCTTGAGATAGGTGCACTAGAATGAATGGTATATATGAAATCTTAGTAAAACCGATGCTTCTTACGAGATTCGAACCACGTTTAATCAGTTTTGCAGTGAGAGACAGTTTTCAATGAGTTATGACTAGCAACTGAGGAGGAACCGATCTGCTATATTTTTTGCTCTTACTTATTAATGTTCGTTATAAATCGATGGTCAAGGATGGTGAGTTATTGGATTTATTGTTTGCTAAAGATCACAGCCTAATAAGTAGACATCTAAATGAGGAAACATCAAATGATAACAGTTAGCCAAAAACATGTTTTTTCAATATTGAAGGTCGGTACTGAGGATGTAACGAATGTTGGGGATAGTTCCTTTACAACCCCAAGGTCATTAAGAAGACTCAGTTTATTCTTTGGGTGACAGCATAATCAACCGTTTGACCCCTTTTGTCGTTAAAACACTTTTATAAAAATGTGCGAAAATTGTAATTTTCCTTAAACATTTATTTGAATTTTTACGAAGGACTTCGCGAAAATTTCACTGCATGTTCACTTTACTTTATAAATATTCCGAGAAAAAACTTAGAAAACACCTATCTATCTATATTGATTCTTGATAGAAGAGAAATTTTCACTGTTTTCATTTAGGTGAATATTGACCATATATATTGCTATCAAACCCACTTTGTCATATGCGCATGACTTGATAACAATTAATTGTTATTCCTCAGTTACGTTGCATTATTCTTTTGAATAAGAAGTATTGTCATATTGATTAGTCCTTTTTAAACAGAACAAAGTGAGTTGGTTATTGCCATTATTTGGCTATCTGGTTGGACATTTATTTTAATTTCCAAAATTATCACAATTTGTATGAACAGCAGATTTTTGATACTTCTAATATAGATTTTATAAAATTGAATATGAAAAAGTATTTGCAAATTATTTACCGTTATTAACAAAATAACAAATAAAGTATTGTTGTATTCTACACTTGACAAGCTGATAGTCTAATTTTAAAATTTACTTTTATTCCAGTAGAGTTTTGACGTAAGCAGTTTTGACATAAAATAACAGGGCTAATTAGGACTGTCGTATCACAAAATATTGTGCTTATTAATTTTGCACATCTATTTATTATATTCAGTCTTCAGTATGAGCTTCTAAGCAAATTTTAATTATTTCTGAAAAAAGGAATCGATCAGTGATCATATTACAATGATATGAAGGATAACATGTAGTCAAATGTTCTAAGAGAATACCTATTTAGTGGTTTGCCAATTACAATTCAGAATTTCTCATTGAAAAAGAAATTATGATTATACACGGCTTAATAAATTCAGATTTAAAGTTAAAATGGTCATGGTCTCAGAATGTTTTTGAAAAAAGTATTAAATATTTCCAGATTCTATACTAATTGATTACTTAGTGAAAAAATGGTTTTGTCTCATAGAGGTTGATCGTGTTCCATAAACGTGATCTGGTTCCGGTATATATATATATATATATATATATATATATATATATATATATAGCGTAAGCGTAAATTGTGTTTGGACATATAAAAGTTTGAACTTTCTTATATCTATAAGTATAGGGTTATGCAGATTTTTAAATTTCAATGGAATTCTGAAATAATCCAAGTTAGACCACTATTAAAATCATAAAGCACTGAACGATCATTGCGTCCTATTATGAAACTCCCCAGAAGTGCACATCCACAATTCTTTACGTTAAAATCACAGTCAGGACCTTTGGTTTCGTACACGATGAAACAGCCACCCAGAGCTTCCAAGTTTTCAATAATGTTTTAACTTGGATTACGTCAGGGTTTTAATGAAAATTCGTTATCTCTAATAGTCCAACAACATTCATTTTTTACTTAGTAATATAATAAAACACCAGAATTTCAATGATAACGAGTTAATGAAGTATAAATGTAAACTAATAACAAGTTTAGACGTTAAAGATCACTCAAGAACTAACTATTTCAATAAGATAGCAAGCAAATTACATATTAAACAGGAGATAATCGGTGATATAGTTGCTATTTTGAATAGAGCGTGAGTTCAAGTAAATCTTAATAGTAACACATTTGCAGTTATTTCTATAAACCCATAATTTTCAAAAACTTTAAGAGAGTTTTAATATCGAGTATGTATATGTAAGAGTATACGGGAGAAACAAAGTATGTTTTGTTGTGTTTTTTTTAGTGTCAAGCATCCTCAAAGTTGGATTGCTTAATTTTGGAGATGTTATTGCCATTCTGGACAAGGTTTTGAAATCCAAGATAACGTCTGCTCGAAGGTAGTAAATGTTATACTACTATGATTTTATTTACTACATAACTTATCAATCATTTACCATTCAAATTTAGTACGATATAACATTCAGTCAAAATTCATTTAAACTAAAATTATAGAAACTAAGTTTGCCGGTAGATATTTTTAGTGTTTCTATTGGTGATAAATAATAGCGCTTTTTAGGGACATCAATCTTGAAATAGACGTTTTAGGTTGAATAATTTATTATTTTCGGTTGCAAATAATACTTATTTTGAAGTAGCCGGTTATTGATACTTTATTGAAAGAACCAAGTAACAAAAATTATTGATTATCTGGTTATAGAAAAGTAAAAAATAATAAGTCAGGTAACTGAAATAAATAAT